TTGCATTAACAATAACTTATGAGTTATAAGGAACCTTGTATTTTATTTAAGCCCTCTTTGCTTCAGCCGTTAGCACCCCTGCGTACCCCCTGCAGTTCCCTTTGCATAGTCGTTATTGTGGGGACCGTATGTTATTTGGATTATGCGTATACTGTGTAATATAAATGAGTTATATTTCAGTTTATAATAAAATATGAAAATTCAAGAATATCATAATTTATTGTCCAAATTACAAATGTTTAAAACTAATAAAATTGGCGGAAAATACCTTCTTCCCTTGTAGGAATTGTAGGATATTCACGATAATCCGATAATTTTCAGTGATGAGGTCCTTCCGTTGTTTGTTTAACGTATCCATATCATTTATTTTACAGGTGGAATAGCCGGTATATGTTCATTCGATGGCAGACATTTGGCCTTAATGCCGCATCCGGAACGAAGTGTGTTCACGTGGCAGTGGCCTTACACGTACGGGTTGATGGCAGATGGGCYTAAAGACGGTGATTACGCCCCTTGGATGCAGATGTTTTACAACGCTTATGAGTGGTGCTCCCGTAATTAGTCTAACACAACGTACAGTGCCTACTCGTTGTTGAAGAACATTTTTCAATAGTAACAATAACAACGAATTCGATCATGAGTCGTGTATAATAATAATAATGATTGCAATAAATATGAACGAATAAATTTATACGTGTATAATAATAATATATTGCCATTTTTCATGTTATGTAATCCTCTTCATCATTATTACTTGTTGTGCTTAATTGTATAGTTGTATATTTTCTTATTAAAAAAAAAAAAATAATAATAATAATAATATATACCTACGTGTGTTATTATTGCAGCATTGTGTATAAAAAATAAAAAATATTTTTGTTTTTTTTTTCGACCTATACGCATACGATACGCGTTGTCTTAGGTTTTTGTCGACAGATATTGTGTAGGTATCAAGGTATGTAAGGCTTTTGTTCAGTCTAGTGCGGTAGTATTACTATACTATTAGGTAAAAGGTCATTAGATTATCAGAACAGCCGCGTATACGTAGGTATATGTACGTAAATTCATTATTATTTTTGTACACACGATGATGAATCGTCGACCGGTCGTCGTCAGTGTGTTCTGGTCGGTGTAGTCGTACTCGTGCCCGTTTATTATAATACGAATCAGATACTTATACTATATAGTATATAATAGTTGTGCACACTATCATAATAACGATGAGGCGAATGATGATTTCCTATTTTGATTTAATAATTTTTTTAAACGTGTTTATTGCAGYTTTATCGATCTCCACTTCAGACGCGTATATTCCAGACGCTTCGTTAAGTGTGGTAAGCATAACAACACAAGACGTTTTAATGCTTACACATCTACGTCCTTTTGTTTTAATTATCCTTTCATAAAAATAACCATAATAATATTTTTCGAGAAATCGCCCTAGCCTAGGTAGTGAATTCAGAATTACTTATGCCTAAT